GCCGACGTCGTGACAACGTCAATATGAATATTGAGTTCCTCGTCTGGGCCTAGGCTGATGTCAATAGTACTTGGGGCCATGTAGGACTTGATTTCGCATGTGGCCATCGAGGGCACCGCCGCAATGCCCCGAGGAGGGCGCAGAGGTTCACTGGGGGCCGAATCCATCGGCAGGCGACGAGGTCAGATGGTAAAACGGGGGGGCAGAAAGCGGAAAATGGGCCTTCTCTCCTTCCGTCCAAAGTATTTGATGGGAAACGCGCTAGCCACATTGTTTGAGATCGGCCAGGAGGACACCCACAATTGTCCCTGGGTTGCGGTGGAGATCGTTTCTCACAGCTTGCCTCCACGCAGCATCCGTGGTCGACCTATGGGGCGCCATGTTGAAAAACTTGCTAGAGCCCCAGGCTGACCCCCATTGCCTGCAGGCGTTCGACAAGGCCTTTCGAGTGGATCCGAGTCCTACCTTCCTTGGGCTTTCTGAAGGGCCACAATGAGCTGTCTCAGAGTGGATGGCGCATTCCCGAGGATGTTTACCGCAGTGAAAATTCATGAGAGGACGCTTAGCCCTTGGTCACTGATCTCGGCAGAATGACGGGGGTAGAAACCGTCGATGGCGACCGTGGCAACCTTGAAGCTCCGCGAAAGGTTCCTGATGCCTTCAATGTCTGGCCCCGCTGGGACCTGGATCTCGCGCCCCGTCGAAAATCAGAGGGCGTTGCTGACCGGCCCCCCGAGCCGCGCCCCGCGCCCGTTTCCCGAATCTGCTGAAAAAACGAAGCAGAGAGGGTTCCGTCTGGGGGCTCGACCGCGTCTCCTTTAAAACCAGAAGCAAATTCTAGACGCTTCGCGTATCCCCACCAGCCCGTCCAGAAACGACGCCCAAGCGAGTAGAGGGTCGTCCTGAGAGGTTTTTCGGCGTTGTGGGTGCCTCGGGGGGGCCTGTTTGGGCCGTTTGGGATCCTCTTGGGGGCCTCCTGGGGGCCTCTGGGGGCCATCTTGGGGCCATCTTGGGGCCTCTTGGTGCCTCCTGGGCGCTTCTTGGGGCCATCTTGGAGGAAATCGATCAAAGAAGAGGGGAGCTTTAATTGGCGCTGCCCCCTCAGATGGCCAAAATGGAGCCAAAACCTTAGTAAAATCAATGATTTTGGCTTCAAAGAAGAGGGGAACTTTAATTAGCGCTGCCCCCTCAGAAGGCCAAAATGGAGCCAAAATCTTAGTAAAATCAATGATTTTGGATTCAAAGAAGAGGGGAGCCTCAATTAGCGCTGCCCCCTCAGAAGGCCAAAATGGGGCCAAAACCTTTGTAAAATGAATGATGTTGGCTTCCTCGGCGAGGCCGTTTTGGACGCCCCGCCCCTCCTGTCCAAGTCAGTGGGGAGAACCCCCCCCGAAGGGGAAGAAGGAGGGGTGGAGGAGGAAACTCGTTAAACCACCGACGCCCTAAAGGGCTGGTGGGACTTTTAGTGCACCGATGGGCTCTCGAAACACCCCCCCGCCAAGGCTTCCTGACGCCGCTCGTTCCATTTCTCCCTCTGACGCCCGCTCTCTTTAGCGATGAGTGGTTTCCAGCCCGCCCTGACTGGGCGCCGTCGCATCGAGGCTGGCAGGCGGCCGCTCGGCCCCGCAGCCCGCGGCCAGGCGCGCGCGCGCGCGTGTGTGTGTATGTGTATGTGTATGTGTATGTGTATGTGTATGTGTATGTGTATGTGTATGTGTATGTGTATGTGTATGTGTATGTGTATGTGTATGTGTATGTGTATGTGTATGTGTATGTGTATGTGTATGTGTATGTGCGTGCGTGCGTGCGTGCGTGCGTGCGTGCGTGCGTGTGTGTGTGTGTGTGTGTGCGTGCGTGCGTGCGTGCGTGCGTGCGTGCGTGCGTGCGTGCGTGCGTGCGTGTGTGTGTGCGTGCGTGCGTGCGTGCGTGCGTGCGTGCGTGCGTGCGTGCGTGCGTGTGTGTGTGTGTGTGCGTGTGTGTGTATGTGTGTATGCGTGTGCGTGCGTGCGTGCGTGCGTGCGTGCGTGCGCGCGCGCGTGTGTGTGCGTGCGCGGTGGTGGTGGTGGTGGGGGGGGGGCAGAGCGAAGTCGACGCAGGCAGACGCAAAAACCCTGCCTCTCGGCCAGAAGTTGCTGAATGGCCCCTTTTCTTTGATTCCCTTGAGAGTTCTGGAGAAGCTTTCAGGCGGCAGGCTGGCGCCGCCTGCCAGGGCTTTGAAACGACGTCTTCAGCTCCTTCAAGCGTCTGAGAAGCCAGCCCGCGCAACGGCCTTCCGAGACGCGAGGGCTGCGTTTCGTGATCAACAGCTTGCGCAAATCAGCGTTCTCTGGTTTGTAGGGGGGGGCCCGCCCTTGGCGGCCCCGGCCCCGCGGCAAGTCTCGCGCAACTCTTCCCAGGCGTTCGCGCGCCAGCCGTCGTGCGCCACGCTGAGGACGCGCTCGAGTCCTTCTGTCTCCGAGGGCTCGGGGGTGCGATATCCCTCTGGGGCTTTGAAATTTTCCCAGGGCCCGCTGCGTCTCGGGCGCCAGCTCGGGGCACGCTGGCGGCTGACGGCATGGCCCCACAGGCCGCTGCACTGGGAGCACTTCGAGTTTGAAAAGGCGCTCAAATTGCACCAAGAAGGGCTCCGTCGCCACGTGGAGGCCCACTGCGCAGCGCGGGGAAGCGCCGCTGTTAAGACCCGCGCAGACCGAGAGAACTGCCCTAGCAAGTGTATTGCTGGCCACGAAGAAATCCCGCGTGCGATGCGCATCTTCGACGCGGCGCGTCGGCGCCACTGGATCAAAAATAAGGTCAGCTCCGAAACAGCCTGGTTCCAGCCCGACCTGAAATTCACTCGGTGCGAGGTTGTAATCTCCGCCCGAGATGGAGGGCAATCCGCGCGCGAGAACATGATGCCCCAACTGCTCGCAGAGCCTCGAGTTTTCGATCCCCAGGCCCGCGCTGGTCACCCAGTAGCACGAGTGCACGCTGAACGCTCCCAGAGCTCCGTGGCGGCAGTAGGCGTGGAGGATACAAGCTCTGCTTAGGATCATGCCAACAGTCCAGATAGCTTCTGTGCAGGATAGCCACCCCTTCTCGGGGGGTACCCTGGAGCTGCGGCACTCGCAGGGGCCCAAAAACTGCCCCGGCCTGACATGGGGCAGGTCTTTTTGGCGTCCGATAATTTGTCCTGGCGCAGCTTGTGCTCCTGGACTAGAATCACATGGGCCTTGGTGAATGTCGCGTGCCCCAAGGCCCTCTTCCATCCCGATGCGCTAATCGTGCACACGTGGAAGGACGGTCCGTCCGACACGGGGTGGGGAGAGTCAGGGGGACGTCCAGAGGGGTGGGGGGGGCGACGGGACTTGACTTTAAAACTGCTGCTGCTCAAGATTGTCCAAGTCCTCGCTCGGAAGGCCAGCGCCCGCGGCGGCGGCGGCGGCCTTCTGACAGGGGACAGGAGCGGCGGCATGAGGCTTGGTCTTAGGCTCAGGGCGCGACGGTTCAGGCTCACTACGTTTGGCCCTTCCCCGAGGGCCCCTCTCGCGTAGCGACTCACCTCTAGTATATGCAGCACGTTGGGGGCGCTCAGGTCCTTCTCGTTCTTCTCGCGGCTGGGGGGCTGCAGCTGCCGGTAGAGGTGCTGGCGATGGGGTGGTTGGCTGCGCTGGGCCTGCTGGAGCCGCTGATGCTGCCGATGCCGATGTTCCCGCAAGCATTGGGCCCAGGATGTCCAAAGCCTCATTGATGCGCTGCGCGTCCTCGCCCTTCTGAGCGACCTTGAAGATGCCACCTGCTCGAGCTGTGTGAGGAGGCGTTCCGCTGAGGCAGCTGTTGCCGACTCCTGGGTCGCGAGTTCCTCCTGGCATTCTTGCATGCGCTGTTGAGCCTCCTGGAGGTTGGCTCTCTCGTCCTGCAGGTGCTTCTCCTGCTGATGGATGTGCGTGCGAGCATTATGAACCTTTGTCTCCAAGAGGCCCACGTTCTTTTTGTGGACGAAAACCTGGCGCTCAATCTTTTGAAGGCTACTGCTGGCCACCAGGAGCTTCTGCGAGGCAGAGGTCTCGCTCAGCACGTACAGAGGCCACCTTGGTCAGTAGCGCCTGGACTGCGGGCTGTTCATCATCTCCGTCTTTCGGGAGCATGTCCAGAGCGTTCTGGAACAACTGAATCTGCTGGCCGATGGGGGTGCTGGACTTGGCGCCGTCCATGGTGACGTCATCATCTGCAGGCTGAGGAGGAGCGGCAGCAGGAGCCTCTGCGGGGCCCACTGGCGGCGGCTTCCTGTCGCTTGGCGCTTCTGGACCTCCCCGACGGCGACCCCTGCCCTTGGACCGCCGACCGCAGCCACGACACACGCTCTGCTGGGGCATCCCTGCCGCCGCGCGGGCTGTGTGCTGGGGAGGACCATCCTGCATTCTTCCAATGGGCTCCGCACTGCCAGCACCATGAAAAGTTCCATGATGTAGACGCCTGGCACGTGCTGCATGTCCATGCGTAGTCCCGCGGCCCACTTCTCCCGCCGCCATGCCCAGCGGGCTTGCCCATGGCTGCGGGTGGACTGGAATGAAACTGAAGGAAGGTGGTCGTTTTGAGTCAAACCTTGGCCCCAGTCAAGCTGGGGCTGTCTGGAATATGGAGATATGGAAGCGGGGTCCCTGGCTGGACAGCCACCTGATGGATCCGCGGGAATGGAATTGGTCCTCGACAACCTCGAGAAAATGGATTACTTGAGCCAAAATGGCTTGAAGCAAAATGGCTACGGACTCCCTCCTCCTCCTCCTCCTCCTCCTCCTCCTCCTCCTCCTCGTCCGCCACCATCCTCCTCTGCATCCGTCACCCTCCTCCTCCTCCTCTTCTCTCCTCCTCCTCCTCCTCCTCCTCCTCCTCCTCCGCATTATGCTCCTCTGCCATCCTCCTCCTCCTCCTCCTCCTCCTCCTCCTCCTCCTCCTCCTCCTCCTCCTCCTCCTCCTCTTCTCTCCTCCCCCTTCTTCCGAAGAGGAGGAGGAGGAAGGTCCAGAAGCAGAACGCCTCGCTGGCGGCCGCCAGAATTTCCTCCGGCTGTCTTCCTGGCGGGGGAGGCCGGAGAGGACCCGGAGTCCAGGGAACGGGCCCCGGGCAGCATGGTCGGGGGGGGGGGCGGAGAGGAGCAGAAGAGGAGGAGATGAGGAAAGGTCCTCGGAAACTTTCGAGGCCGGGGGTTGTTTCCATCACCTGCGCCTTGTTGAGAGCTTCCCGGGATGCTGGAATCGTCCCGACCGGCCGCTGGAGAGCCGATTTACGACCCACGGGCCACAGGGCAACCAGCAGTGGGGGGACAGGAGACGAGGTGAGAAGGAGGATGAGATGAGACCCCGCCGAAAGGGCGTCATGCCTGGATTCCGACAGAGCGGGCACTAGGGCCCCCGCTCATGCTGAGCTCTGGCCTCCAGAACCTGGGTCTCCAACGACTAGGCTTCGGCCAGCGAGAGCCCAAAGGACGGGCCTCCTGAGGCCCTTGAGGAGAGGAGAGGAGAGGAGAAGGATGATGATGAGGAGGAGGAGGAGGAGGAGGAGGAGATGAGGAGATGAGGAGATGAGGAGATGAGGAGATGAGGAGATGAAGAGATGAAGAGATGAGGAGATGAGGATGAGGATGAGGATGAGGATGAGGATGAGGATGATGATGATGATGATGATGAGGATGAGGATGAGGATGAGGATGAGGATGATGATGAGGATGATGATGATGATGAGGATGATGATGATGATGATACAGACAGACAGACAGACAGACAGACAGACAGACAGACGGACGGACGGAGGGACAGACAGACAGACAGACAGACAGACAGACAGACAGACAGACAGACAGACAGACAGACAAACAGACACGCCACTGCGGCCCTGAGGCCGCTCCAAGGATGGAGGGCGCGATGGCGCCTCGGCGCCAGCAGGCTGAAAAAAGCTCATTTCTCGTTGTCCTGGTAAGCCTTTTAAATAGTCCAACCATCGTTCCCGCGGACCGTCCTGCCTTCTGGTAGAATCGAGCGGTTCCCAATTGCACGCCATTTGTTCCCAAAATCGGCTTTCCGTGTCCATGCGTTTTTGACCATTGTGCAGCTGGTTTGCAATTTTCAACTTCCCAGGAGGAGGGGGAGAAGGTAATTCTGCTGCTTTGCGATGATGATGATGAAGAGGAGGAGGAGGAGGAGGAGGAGGAGGGGGAGGAGGAGGAGGAGGAGGAGGAGGAGGCGGAGGAGGAGAGGAGGGGAGGGAAGAGGAGGCCGAGGCTGGGACCGAAGGAGCAGCCGTTCTTCAGCCAGGTGAGCCCAGCGCACCCCCAGCATAGCCCGAAGCAGGCGGAAGGAAAGGGAAAACGGAACGCGAGGATGTCACCCCCCACTCTTCGGATCGGATTGAAATTGGCTAGGATTCAACGATGGGTTCGAGAACTACAACAGATGGGGGGATTACAAATGCTGTTGTCTAGCGGGCCGGCTAGGGGTTCCCACCGCTATGGAAGATAGCACAAAGGTAAAACAACCGCTACCCCACTTAGTGGGATTGATCACTCTGCATGCTAAGTGCAGGCATCTAGATATACTAAACTAGAACAAGCTGGACAGCGGCAAAGATCATCTAGCGTCTTAGCGTCGCCTTTGGTGGGGTCCGAGTGCATTATCTTGAACATGCGTTGTCAGTTGTTTTCTGTCGTGGGTGCCATTAACACGACCGTCAGTCTTTCAAAAGGCCTTGGGCGCGCTGGCCCTGGCAAATGCAGCCACGTGCGCTGCATATTCGCTGGCCCAACGGGCCAGAGGCATGCTGAGATCTCCGATAACAGCTTTGGAATAGTTCTACTTCGCGCGCGCGGGGCGGCTCTTGGGGATCCCCGGATGAAAAGTACGCGGACGGACGCCTGGCAGACTCCGGATCAGAGATGGCGGAACTCCCAGGCGCGGTCTGGCGGCTCCCGGATCGCCCCAGGAGCGCCCCAAAGAGGTTCCAGAGGGTTCCGAGTCGCACGCAGATCGTTCCCAGATGTGTTAGATTGCTCCCAGACGGCCCCACAAACCTCCTCAGTTTCAAGCTGGTCGGCAGGCCCAACCAGATGCTTCGCCTAAGGCGAAGCATGCGTCCAACCCTGTTGTATCGTATTAGTGATAGTGCCAAAAATAGGAAGGAGCCGCATGAGCGGCGATGAGACATCTCAAGAGTAAAGAGCGGAACCTTTTCTGCTTCGATGTAAGATAGCAAGCCGCGGTGCGGCCTGGTCAGATAAATGGCCGGCCACTGGGCCAAAATGGCCGCGGACAAACGCTGGTTGCCTCTCGCCTATTCTCTTCCCCCCTCAGAGTCGGGGGGGAAGACGAAATGCGAGTCCGCTTCCGGCCTTACTCAGCTGAACATCTATATATATATATATATATATATATATATATATGTATACATATATTCCACAAGAAGGGCGGCAGTCGGCGGGCTCAACGTAGGCAGGTTACCCCGCAGCATACTAATCCTCACGCGGCTCAGATGGTCTCGTCTGGCCCGCCCTGTAGGGAGCGCGTCGTTGCAAATCGTGCTTGAAGGATTGTACTCCTTCCATGACTTGCAGGAGCATGTTCCTGTCGATGCTTCCCTCGGCGTGACCATCCGCAATCATATCGCGAGTGTCACAACACTGCACACAGCGCACGCTACCGCGCGCCACCACGTGCCGCAGCCAACTGATGTGACCCAAAAGTGTACATTCAGTCGGTTTCTTCCGGTCTTTGTTTGACAAGGACTTGGAGACGGATTCTGCATAAATAATCAAAGTGGCCGTAATGATCAGGCCGCCCATCTCAAGTATATCCTTCAGTTGAGTGGGTGTCAGCGGCCCTGCGTGGAGTTCGTGTAGCGTGACAATCGTGGGATAGCAGTCCTCCAATGTGTGGGATGTTGCCAGTGCTTCAGCTGAGTAGCTTGAGCGAACTTGCACGCGGTGAGACTCGCAGTGCGCGTCGACAAGATGGACGACGGGCTTGCCAGCATGAGCGCGTCCACGCCTTAGCAGGTTTGCCCTGCGAATACCTTTGACTTAGTCATCGGCATTGCCGTTCAGGCGACAGTAGGCGGAGTCGCTATGCAGATCGACCTCGCCTGTTGGTGTCATCGCTGTAGAGACAATATTCCTAGGGAGGGCCTGCAGCTTCCCGGCGATCGCGCTAAGTCGTCGCACTTGCACGTCGGCGGGTTCTTGGACGCGCTGCAGCGATGCAATTTATGCCATTAACCACGCTTGCGTGATGAGGGTGCAAGCCGGAGCGCCTCTGAGGCTGACGCGCACATCAGCTATCATTTTCGATGCCTTAGCCCCAGCATCTGCGCCCGTGAGTTCGCGATGCTGGATGGAACGGAGCTGTTTTATCTACCCGTCTTGGTCAAGAGTAGCATTGCCGCCGCTGCCCTTGCCGCATCAAACGGCACAGGTGGCGCGCATGCGTTTTCTGGAGCCTACATTTCCCCTATGCTTCCCCAGCGTACTCGACGCACTTGTCGACGGTGTCCTCGGCGCAGGCCATGTTTATATCACCGGCATGTTTGGCAGCGAGAAGGTCGGGGCTCGCCTCGAAAACCTCGCCGCAAGACGCGGGACTGAGTCCAAAGCCTCTTGAGGTGTTACTGAGCTTCAGTGAGAAAGCTCTTGGTGCATCCTTGATGTCAGTGCCTGGTTTACTGCAGACAGTGTCTTGACTCATCATAGTGCTCGAATCCTGAGAAAAATCTGCGCGCTGATGCTGAGCCATGTGGCAATGCGAAGCGCGCCGCGCGCTTCTTCTTCACCGGTCGCTTCAGCGAGCTCTTGATGCGCGAGCCCCTTCAAGCGAGCCATGTTGATGTCAAGGGAAGCAATGATCCATTGCTTCCTGCGCTGCCGCACTGGCGAGCAGTCGCTGGCTCGTCCGCCGCGCCGTTCCTGGGATCGTTTCTACATCGAAGGCTTCGAAGTCCATGGGGCCTCGAAGTACCAAGCGCAATATGATGGCGCGTCCAATCTCGCCCTTTTCGCTTGCGACGAACTTCCATTTATATGCGTATCTCGAAGTCATGATGTTTGACGAGTTGGATTTGTCTTGTACTTTGAAACACTTACTGTCAAAACATGTCTTGATTTCTGTATATAGGGCTTTCGATGCCTGGGCTGCATTCGCCGAATGACTGCTCCCGTGAGGAGGTCGCCCTCCTTGGCGACTGCAGCTCGTTTGGCCGCAGCGGTCACAGGTCATCGCATGTAGTAGCACGGTCGCTATCCAGTATCTCGTGTTGTTGTTCAGATAGGGCGGTCTTCGACATTTCTGCTGTAAAGCAGAGTTCTACATGTTGTCCGTACTCGTCGGAGTCCAAGCCGTCACTGTCATCTTCGTCCGTGGAACATAATGGGACATGGCATGTCTCAGTTGTGTAAATGTCGTGTGAGTCACCCCACGCAGGCAAGTGCCCTTGCTGTTCTTCAGCTACTGTGACCAGCACACTGTTATCAGGAATCAAATGTGTGTGGGCACAGCGCAGAGCTCTTAAGCTGGAATTGCCTCCAGCATCTCTTTCATCCTGTAGTTCCGTATACCACACTACCATAATGTGTGCCTCGAGGTCCGCCTCCGATTCCTCATAAATTGCTGGAAGCCGTCCGTCTTCCTGGTGGTGTTCGACTGCTGGGGCCTCCCATGGCATCGCTGCCTTGCGTTGGCACGTCTCCCAACTCATCGGACTTCGCCATGTCTTGATCGAAGCCAGCTTGAGGTTTGGTCGACTCCAGGAACTAGATGATTCTAGAGTGCGCTGATCCAATTATGTGTTGGATGTTTAGGGCAGTACCTTCAGCTTCATGGTAGTGGAAGCCTGGGTTCACGTCGTTGTCATATTGCACCAGCGTGCAACTGTCAGCATACGTTACCAGAGGTAGCTTATGAATGCTCTTTGCTAGCCCAACAGAAACAACGTTTTCGGCACGGAAGAAGTTCCCGATGAGGTACTGGAGGGCTAGAAGTACCTTGGGAGATAATCGGCTCGCACTTGTCATCTGGGGCACTCCCTTTCTGGTGGG